TAGTTTTGGTGGTTTCCATTTGGCCTTTTGCAGAATAAGGTTTGAGATTCTTTTTTTGGCAGGCATTCATTCCCTCAGTATTTTTGTAGGGCAAAGAAGTGTTCTTTCTCTTGCTAGTCCATAAAGGAAAAAGGAAGATATCAACAATTTCAGGATTGTTTTTAATTGTCTTAAATATAAGACAGAAAGGAGCAACACTTAAAAACATTCCACTTCCAGCCATGCTGGGGGTAGAACTGTGCATGATCTAAAGGTAAATATGTAATTTATAGGGAGTAGAGTCCCGTGTTTTCTATATCCAATATTGCCTGAATATAGGAATATTCACAGCTGGCAATCACTGTTCTCACCAGACAGCAATGTTACCTGGAACCAGGCCATCCTAAAAGAAAGGACAATACAGCACTTGCCAAAGCAGTTGGTGTTTCCTCTCTGAGCTGAAACAAAGGCCCAGGTGGGAGCAGATCCACATCATCCTGATTTACAGGATAATCCTGATTTACAGGATGTAGGTGCTGCAGGAACCAAAATTTTCTGAGGTCAAGCCACCCCTCGTAGAGCTGAGAGCTTTTTGGCTGCATCTTCCTTGGGTGAGCCATGACCTGTGAGAGCCTCAATCCCTGGGCTGCAGGGTGTTCTCAAACAAAACCTGCTTTTTTTTTTTTAACTTTAAAAGCTTTTTAGTTTGAATGGAAGCAAACCCCCCAACCTGGCTGCTCTTGGGTTCCACATAGCAAACCTGGCTGGGCTGAGCCAGTGAAGGTGGTGTTTGAGCTGGAGAGGGAAGAATGTATTGTTCAGAGACCTTTTGTGCTTCGAGGCTTGTTCTGCCGTGGTTAATGGTGTGTTGTGAGCCCTGACCCACGGGGTGGGTGCTGTGCAGGGAGAGGAATTCCAAGGAATTCCTTCATATCCAGTGTATATACTGCAAACCTAATCCCAGGCTCCTTTGGAAATTGAGTCTGATGGATCCCCCTGTGTTTTGTGAATTAATTTAATTGATCCTATCTCCCCTCCACTAGTTTTAGGGGAAGAACCGAGCAGCTCTTTCTGATGCTCAAGTGAGAGGTCTTGCTCAGTGCCAAATAATTCACTTCAGATCTCCTTTTTAAAGAGAACTCCAGCTGAGAGGCAGGTCCTGGAGCCTTTGCCCTGTTGCTGCCTTCTGATGGATTGTCATTGCCAAGCCATGACACTGATTTAATTTGTATTGTTTGCTGTCTCTGCCTCCACTGTCCCCTGGAATTTGGAGACAGAACAGTGCCTGGACAAATTAACTGTGAAAGCACTGACCTAATGCTGGAAAGATACACCATGTGCTGTGCTATTGGAATCATATTTGACAATTTCTGGAATTCTGGATGGTATCTGAAGCATCTGGGGACTGCTGCTGTGTATGAGGCCAGGATTGAGATGCCTCGTAATAATTCATGGGTTCAAGTCTTGAATGGTTATTGCTGACATGAGAATTATTTCTTTTGAAAGGGAAGGCACAAAATAGGCATTAATCTATAGCTGGTACCTTCTAAAAATATCTATATAAATATTTCTATCTATATATTCTATATATAAATATAAATAGAATATCTATATACATTAACCTCTAAGCAGAAAGCCCTGTTGGAATCAGCCTCTTTTCCACCTCTCAAAATATTGTTAAAATGGGGAGCAACTCATATGTGCTAAAATATATAAATATATAAATATTGGATATGTGATAAAATATATAAATATGTAAATATTGGAAATATGATAAAATATATAAATATGTAAATATTGGACACGTGATAAAACATATCTTCCACAAGTTTTGTGGAATAATATCCCATAGCAGAGCTTGGGTACATGTCCCACATTGCTGTCCACGAGGATGGTGATGGCACAGATCCCAGGAGGAATTGAGAATCACTGCTCCTAGTTTTTGGGATGGGTGACCTGGAATTCCCCTCTCAGGTGCGTGGGCTGTGCTTTGCCCTGTGAGTACAGGTATGCACACACCTTATTTTAATTCAATATTGACCAAATAACAGACATATTCAAGCCCTGTGTCAGAGACCACTTGATGCAATTTATCCAAACGCTGATTTCCCACTGAGTGGAGTTTTAATTGAAGAACTGGTGAGAACATGAGCTTCCATCTTGCTTTATAACACAGTGTCACTGGTATTTCTTGCCCTGCAGGCTGTGAAATTTGTCATCTGCCTTGTAACACAGTCCTTGGGTTCCATAAAACAACACATGCAGGTGTCTGGTGTCACACAGCCAAAATAAAACTGGACTGTTCAGCTGCTGGTTGACAGGGCAGGATTTAAAGGGACAGAGCTGTAGGGCCCCCAAATAGGAATTGTTAGTCAATACTTGCTGCTTGGGTGCATCCACAAGTTAAATTGGAATAGAACTCATCTAATTGAACATGCAAAGACCAAAAGGTGGCTGAAGACCTCGTGCAAGTTCCAGTTCCAAAGATAACATGACTGGTCTTGCAGGAGGCCGTTAGGATGTGAAAGTAAATGCAGATAAATATATTATTTTTTAAAAAATTTATTTAAAAATCACAAAGTTACTCCAGAATTTTCACCAAAAAAAAAAAAGAGGAAAAAAAGTGTGGTTTGGAATTTGAAAATCAGGGGTTTGGCCTGTGTTGTGGACATGGCAGGGCTCTCATGCAGAAGCTGCCACTTTCAGCTGTGTGCACAGGAAGGAAAATGCTGTGGAATTGTAGGAAAAGGGGAATTCTGCTTGAATTCTCCCCAGTCTGTGAGTGCAGGGATCTCCCTGCCTGACCTGGCAGAGCTGTTGTAGCCAGATGTGCACGTGAGTGACTTGCTTTGCCTTCTGCATAAGCTGGATGTGATTCCTGTGTTTAAAAAGAACAGCTTTTAACTGATCAAACTGTTTTCTTACAGAGTAATCTCAGTGCCAGCTACTCCTCTGTGTCCATCCAGCAGGGAGGGCATTTTGCTATCCCTCAAAAACGTGGGAAAAGCTCTTCTGGAAAGGACTGCCAGAGGATCTGGGCTGGCATTAGCTCATGTTCTTCATTCAGGAAAGGGATTTTTATTTTTTTTAATAGGATTTTTCTTTCTTCATGGTTTAATTTGTGAACCCTCTTCAGAGAACACTGGAAAACCTGGAATATTTGATGAGGAGAAAGGCAGAGGGGTTGTTGATCAGCATAAAGTATTGACAACCATTTGTTGCTGGAATAAATCCATCATTAGATGGATCATTAAACCACAGGAGCAGTCATTAAGCAAGGCTCTGGCAACACACAGTTCTCATGGAAGCAGTGATTTGTATAGAAATAGTGCTTGTTCATGGCTTGAGAGACTTATTTCAATTGTATATATGAAAGGGGTGGGAAAGGATCCCTGTTTTAAGTGAATTCAATTAGCGTTCAGTGAGGATGAGGGTGAGGAATTCGTGCTGGCAACTAAAAGCAGATTTGTGAGACAGATTTGTGGTTTTATGCAACCTTTTCCTTGCATAAAAAAGTGATTTCCAAATGCTCCTCCGGCCCAGAGCAACGTAGGATGAGTCTCTTGTTGATTAATTAGGTAATATCCAGGGGGATTGAGGGTTTGCAGTGTCCTGTGCAATTCATGACCAAGGGAACCATGCCAAAATTTGCAGACTTTGACTCTTATTTATACTTATTTCTGTGACTAAGTGAGAATCTTGTGTAGCTGATAAAAGATTCCACAGGAGATCAAACTCATTAATACACAGAGAAAAACTCTGATAGTCTCCAAAGGGCTCTCCAAACCTGGAGAGTTGCTCAAGCTTTTAACTTCCAGCATGAGCAGAGCAAAAAGGACATTACAGAAATTAAATACAGCAATTGAGGATTTAACACCCGCCCTGTCATTTTAGTGAAATATTTCCTTCCCCCTTATTCCTGCTGTTATCAATCTTCCCTTTCTGACATGTTTCATGGCAGTTTCTGATGTTCAGAGCTCTTGTGAAGTTTATTTTCAAACAAAACTGAGGCAGCCCGTGCAAGAATAACTATTTTCATTTGGGTTGACAAATATTTTCTAACCTGAAGCTAATATTTTTAAAAGGTTCAGGCTGTTGAACAATGAAAACTAAAGCTGTGTCAGGTTGATTTAGAGATTTTTTTTTTTTTCCCCTGACAGCACACAGCTGAATTCCAATCACTGCCTTGGAGTTTTAAATTCTATGTCCCTTTCCTCAGCTGAAAATACAGCTTTGTGCAGGAGCATTCAGTGAAATTCAGAGGATCCCAATGGAGAATCTGTCACACTGTTTTTCCTGATGTGGTTTCATCATCCCCAGGATTTTGCCTTGTCCTGTGGCTGCTGTTCCAAGTGCTGGACCCTTGGCAGAGCTTCCTTAGTGTATTAATGCCTGAGAAATGTGCTCTGTGTCTTCCTCCTGCTGTGACATCCGTCCTGCATGTGTGATTGTCTTCGTGTGGTGTCTTTGTTGGTTCCTGGACCTGAGAACACCCATCACCCACTGTCATTTTGGAAGCAGCATCATTGCCCTGCAGAGAACTCTTTTTTATCAGCTTTCACTGGTGTGAAACGGAGCTAAAAACCCAACCAGCTGCCCAGTACTGGTGCTTTTTTAGCTGCTCCTCAACCCTTCTCCTCCTTTGCCTTCTCTGTGAGCAGTCAATGAGGACAAAAAAACCCCCAGCCAGTTGTGAAAGAAGGCTGAAATTCCGAGTTCGCTCCCTCCCTCCCTCCACAGGGTGGGATTTCTGAGCAGGAAGGTGGGACAAGGAGCAACCCCTGTCCAATTGGCTTCTCCAGAAAGGCTGTTACCCCTCCTTACCCCGTGATTTGTAGCAGCAGCACATTTGGCGATAAAAACCCTGTCTCTCTTGGGATTAAGAGCGCGGTTACACTCGCAACAGCTGCCTGCGTGTGTCTGACCCGCTGCAGGGAGAGAAGGGGCTGCTCCTGCTACTCCTTCTCCTGATTTTATCGAGTATTGTTCCTCCCCCCTTCCCTCTGTTTCTCTCTGACCTCCTCACAGCTCCGGCCGCTCCGTCTCTTGAGAAGACTCAGCTGACTTTCCTAGAGCAGCCCCAGGAGATTTTTCCTTTCCCGAGCCAACATTAGGCAGAGGACAGAAGAAGGGGGGAAGCTGAACCCGAGCCAAGCCCTTTGCTGGCAAACCCTCGTCTCGGTGCTAAAACCTGCTCTGAGCCAGACCAGGCAGGGGAGGGACTTTGTTTTGTAGAGGCGAGGAGGAGGAAAAAAGAAACTTGAGACTTGGCTTCCCCCTGTGGCATGTCCGTGCCCCGAACATCCCCTCCCCACCCCGCCGGCTGTTAAATGAGAGCACGTGAAGAACATGAGGTTTCCTGCTTGAGCAGGGCGGGCAGTGCTGGACCGGGCGAGGGAGGAGGAGGAGGAGGAGGAAGGCGAGTTGTGGCTTTGTGGTGTGGTTTACACCGAGATCAGAGCGAGAGCGCGCCTGGGGGTGGGAGCAGAAGGAGAGCAAGGGCGTCTGATGCCAGCTGCCAACATGACAGAAACCCTGCAGCTCCCAGCCCTGCAAGTGCCCGAGCAGCAGGGGCTGGAGGGCTGCGCCTGGTCCAGCTCGTCCACCCCGACCCTGCGCAGGAAGCGCTTCAAGATGAGGCGGATGAAGAACGTGCAGGAGCAGAGCCTGGAGGCCGGCAGGTACCAGGATTCTCCTTCCTCCAGCAAGGAATACCTGCAGCTCCCATCCATTGAGATCACCCCCTCCAGTGACGAGGACACCCCCTGGTCCAACTGCTCCACACCCAGTGCTTCCCCGCGGCGCAAGCGCTTCCTCCTTCGGAAGTGGCTGCGCGTGAGAGAGAAGAAGGAGTGCAGTGAGAGCAGGTATGTTCTTTGGCCACTTCCCCTTCCCTGCTTCCAACGTGACCCTGTCCACGTAGGCAGGTAGGGGCTGTGTTCCCCTGGATGAGTTGGGGTGCTTTTCCCCTGGACTTTGTTGGCTGGAACGTCGTGGTGTTGGTTGGACTCGTTGGTGCCAGCCCAAGTGGCCTGATCCTTGTGTGAGGACAGGAGGTGTGTCAGAAACAGCAGTGCTGGGGTCTGTCCTTGCTCGTGGTCCTACAGATAACACAGAGCCAGTGAAAACAACTCGCTGCTGAGAGAGGGAGACCCTGAAGGATTGGGTGGTGATAAGACTTAACTTCATTAAGGTGACCTGAGGAGAGCAAGAGAGGAGGTGACCTCCCTGCTGGCATTACCTGTGCAGGAGTGATGATGCCAAACCTTTGTTAATGTTGGTGGTGCTCATTCCTCCCACTGAGACCTTCCCTGTCATCCTGATGTTGGGAGGAAGTGAGGACAAGACAGAGAAACCAAGTAGGTGGGTCTGCACATCAAGGTGTCTGGGTTCCCTTCTTGGCAGCTTTCCAGACCCAAAAGTCACTTGGTCTTTTGGCTCAGAAGGGGACAAATCATTCACAAAGGCTTCCAAGGCTTTGTCAACACAGGGAAATTAATGCCCAGGGAGTTATTGTGTGGCCACACAAAGCTAAAGCTGTACCTGGTGTAACCCCTGCAGGTGCAGTCAGGGCACACAACATGCAGTGGAATCAACCCTACCTTTAGCAGGGGGGTGGAACAATCTACCTTTCCTGAAGGCCCCAAACACACAAGAAACTTTAAAGGTTCCTCCAAGGAATTAGTGCTGTATAAATCTTTATACTGGCTTGGTGTGGGCCAAGTTTTCTTTTGTTGTTTGCAACTCCCATGCAGCTGATCTGGGGGTTCATCCCTGAAAGGATGTGCTGCACTTCCATAAGAAGAGAAACTCAACTCTTACCATTCCTACACCCAACATACTGGGTTGACTCACTGCTGGGTTCTTCAGTGTTTACAGGACAGAGCTTTTAATATCCACTCTGATTTTGTGATAAGTCTTCTTGCACGAGGTCCCTTTAGCAAGGTCAGTCTGTCATTGTATTAATTTTTAAAGAAGTTTCCTCAATAAATGCATGCCACTGAGGATTTGATAACCCCTCTCAGTGACTTAACATTGAAAAACATCTCTTGGTTGGGAACTATTACTGATTTTTCACGTAGCTGTGGTGATATAAGTAGTGATTCAGTGGCACCACACAAAATGGGAAAGATAATGGCTAAGACAAGTGTCAGAATCTCCAAGTTTAAGGTCTGAAGTTCAACAGAGGATGGCTCTTCAGCTGAAGGATTTATTTTGGATTTATTGATGGTGGATGTGTTTGAGACAGAGGCCAAGACACGTTTCTTTTGGTGTGAATGTGTAAGAAAACTTAGTTTGTTCTTGTGCCCATATTTCCAGGGCCGTGCTGACAGCTTCCTGCTCATTCATCTCCCAGACATTTCTGCCTGGATAGGGTTTTGAAGCAGTGATTGGAAAAGAGGTGAAGTGTTTGATGGATTAGGTGGCATTAGCATTCCAAAGCCAGCATGGCACCTCCTTTCTTCGTGTGCAACAGGCTCCAAATCGATCCCTTTTGCAATGGGAAACACAATGTTTTCAGATGGAATTTTTCCCTTTCTAATCCAGATGGAAAAACCCCATTTGCTGGTCACTGTGCTGATCCTCTGGGCTTGGAGGGTGCAGAGATCATCACTGGGCTTTCACAACTCAGCAGGTGCTGAAAGGGCACAAAGGAAGCAAAATCTGTGGGTAACTGGCCACAGAAAGAGTGATGAACCCTAAAGGATTTTGTGGCATTAATTTGAGAGACTTAACAGCCAGAACTGTGGGGTAAACCTGAGTTTTGCCTGTGAATCCCTGCTCTTAAAATAGCAGGGCAGGAAGCTGCTTACCTGTAAACCAGATGGGTACTGCTTGTTTGCCTTCCCTGCTTTAGACTTTGTCATCAGCCTCTTGAGGCCATTCATGTTTGTAACAGATGCTATATAATATAATTAATTATATTACATAATATATAATAGACGATAATATTAATGTATAGAATATATTAATATATAATATTAATATATAGAATATATTAATGTATAATATTAATTTGATATTAACTAATATATAGATTATAGATTATAGATTATTGAATCTATGTTAATATATTATATATTATGGTCATATATCAATATATTAATGTATAGATTAATATATTAATGAATATAAAAATTAACTAATATATAGACTATTAATAGAATAGAATATACATTAATATATAGAATATATTAATATATATTGATTAATATATATTATTAATATATATTGATTAATATATACTATTAATATATATTTAATGATATAATATATATTTACAATATAAAATATATATTATATTATATAATAATATAATATAACATGATATAATATAATATATAATATATAATAATGTAATTATAATATAACATGTAATTATTATATATTTATTATATAATTAATATATATTATTAATGTATATTAATATATAGAATATATATTACTATAATTTATTGTGCTGTTCATTTGTTTAAGGGCAACAACCTTCAGTGTTTAGTCCAGGGGTTTATTCACCAAGCCTTGTTTTGGTGCTTGGCCTGTCCAGCAGTTTAGTTGTGACACTGTGGTAACAAGGATTCCCAAGGAGTCTCTTTGTGCCAGGAGTGCAGGTATCCTATCAGGACGTGCATATTCCCAAATTTAGGTATTGATCTCATTAAGCACAATTCCCAAATTTCACTGCTAAAGGGTCGCAGCTCCCACCGGAAAAATCCAGTTTGCTGCCAGTTTTTCCCTTTCTCTGCTTAAACTGCCATCAGGCAGCTTGAATTTCATTTTTGGGCTCTGGTAGCCTTTCCACCCGTTCTGTGGCCGGTGCTCTGGCTGTTTGTGGGGAAGGGTTTCCCCAGGAAAGCAGAGTTCCTCCAGCCATGTGTGCTGTGCTCACATGCCCCAGAGCCAGAGCAGTAGCTCAGTGACCATTAGCATACAGAGAGCATCCAAGTGAATAAACAAATGCTTTCAGGACTCCAAGGGTTGTCTCTAATGCTCCAGCCCTGTTTTCCCACCCGGAAACTCCAGCCTACAACACGTTCTGTATCAGCTGGGTGGTTTTTAACAGCCTGGGTCATTGGAAGGTGTGTTTACCTGCTGTGTTGGGTGGCTGATGGAGCAGGTGGGAGACTTTCCTTCCTTCCATTAAACAGCAGAGATGGCATTTGAGAGCCTCTCTTGCCTCTGACACAGTTCTGTTAAAGGTGGAAGGTGGAAGAGCAGAAAGGTGCCATTTCTTGGGGGGAGGACTCTCCCTGCAACTTGTCATTGTTGATCCAAACTACAAAGTTGGTGTTTTGGGGGCCTACAGAGGATAAATATATTGATTTTTATAAGTGATGCCAACAGCTTCTTACCTGTTCTCCTCACCCATCATTTGCCACCCAGGTAATGAAGTTATTTACCTGCACAGAGCTCTGTAAAATATGAACCCAGGTGCACAAGTCTTTTATTAAGACATGATGATGTTTCTGTCTTCAGAGGCTGGAGATGCAATCTGTCAGCATTTTGCTGTGCCTGTAATGAACATGCATTATTGATGTGGGGGTAAGGGAGTTTATCTGCTTTAATTTATTATTTACTTCTTAAAGCCACCCTTGCTTGTAATCTCAATCCTTCCCCAGAGCTCCCTTTGCCTTGAGCTCTCCAAGATCACCTTGTTTTGTCTTCTTGTCTTAAAGATGAACTTGTCTGGTCAATCACAGCATCCAGACTAGTTAAGAATGTGAAATTGTGGATTTTGGGGGGAATACCTGTGCAGTAGCTCTGACTTTCCTAAAGATGGATGTACTCAGGTTCACTTTCTGCTGGAAACTCTGACACTCCCCGTGGGTCCACCTGAAAGCAAAGACTTGCTTAAGTCCTAAAATGCCTCTAATGTGTTAAAAATTAAGTGTATCATTGGAAGCACATCTTGGAAAAGTGGCTGTGCTGAGGAGATGGAGGTTTTTTGGGCTGCCAGATGCACAGCTGCAGAAGTTTTTCAGCTGAAATTTTAAACTTACCTGACAGTATGAAATAAATGACAGGAGACTCTCTAGACTGCTCAGCAGTTTGCTTTGTGGCTTCCACCCTTCACACTGTGTGGAAAGAGGCAGAACTTCTATTTTTTACCTTAAAAACACTTCTACTTGTCAAGTGTCTTGGTCACCTTAGTGAGACACATCAGTGAACAGTGAGCTGCTGGTTTGTTGGAACATGAGCTGAAAATATTAGTTACAAAGAGGTGGTTTAGAGATTTTGAATCTAATTTAAATGACTCTTTAATTTCAGCTAGTTCATAATGCTTTTGCTTTCCTTAACAAAGTGGAAATCCACAGTGTTTCTGGGAATAAATTAATGCTTCATTCACCTCTCTCTTCCTTGCATACATAAAAAAATGTTGTGTTTTCTAGAGGAAAAAGCTCTCGTGAAAGCCAGTGATGTGGGTTTTTTCCCCCCTAAGTAACTGCTAATTATGAAAAATAAAACCCTAAAAAGCCACAAGATTAAAGGCTGTTGAGCCTCTCCCATCGTGGAAACGTGATCCAAGTGGACTTCTGTCTTTGGGGAATGTTAGTGGAGGTATTTACTGAGCCGGGAACAAGCACTGGATGGAGAGGGAGCTGTTGAAGCTGCTGCTGGTCTGAGAGCACTGGGAAGGCTCGGCTGGGATGAGGTTTTGTTCACTTCTCAACATAAAATTCTGAGAAGCTGCAAATTGAGTAAGGAAATGTTGTAGTTCTCAGTTTCTTAGGCTTTCATCAACTTCCACGTTTCATTTGTGGGTCAGAGGGGGGAAGTTGGGCTTCTCTGTTACCAGCACTGCAGGAAGTGGAAGGGGGGTTTGTACTGGGATTGCTGGGGCAGTTTTGCTTTTCAGGCTTTGCTG